TCAAGTTGTCTTTATCCGAGTCTGCCTCAGCTTTCTCCAAGTCGCAGGTTTCGTCGCAATTCCATTATAGATGCAGAATCAGCAAAAATACCATAGGAGGGCTTCGTCAATTCATCAATAATTTATTAAATTCGTTGATAGAGGTGGCATGTTGCGGGGTGTACCTCCCACAGGGCCTCAAGTTAACATGGGCATGTGGTTTGGTGGTATAATATTTGATTAACACTCTTTGCTTGCGAAAGGTCCGGCGTTCAATTTGCCGCTTGTCTAATATCTTTTTTATTTTTTATTTATTTATGTAAACACCTGAACTTCTCGGAAGGGCCTATTAACGATTACCCCCGGTTTGGAACCGTGAATCCGTAGATACTCGTGGCGCATCTCTGCCTCATTCTTTAGTCCCATAGGATATTTATCTTTTTCTGGAGTCCTTGAAAAAATGGATTTAAAGTTTGCTACCTAAAACGAGGCGCCATCCGCCAGCCAGTGAACATCCAATACTATCAAATACTACACGCGTCTCTAGGCCAGGGTCGTCCGTAGCTCATATAACCGCAGAGAAACACAGATATAAACCAAGTAACGGATAAATATTCATATAAAAAATCTTAGTAAAAGGCAGGTGTGACCGTATTGCCAGTAAATTGATGGGCACGGCGCACCGTTTACGGCCGATATGTTCGGCCGCCGGTGGCAGCTGCCAGACTATCTATTGAAATTAGAGAACATTATCAAAGTTGTGTTTACTTCCTATGATTCTTCCGTATATCAAATAAACTAGAATCGAGATTTCAACCGCTTTGAGGTGATTATTAGATGGTACGTACTTTGGATACTCGGGATACTCCCCGCCCCTGCACAAGGATGGCACGCTTCTCTAGAGTGGATGACTTTCGGGAGAGTTCGGGTGGTATTTTCTTCTTCTTAAAATCGGTTCGGTCCCTTAATCAAAAAGAATCGCGTCCGACGACGCGGAAAACCCGTCTTGCGTAAAGCGCTAAACGCGAGGAAATCGAAGAAAATAAATATTGCGACCCGAAGGTCGTCCACTCTGGAGAACCGTGTCATACTTGTGCAGGGGCCATGCTAATCGGACGGCGACGGTAGACGAAACGAATGGCGGGATGAATGATATAGGCAATGGTATGGACAGGGTCGATGAGCGGGAAGGGAGACAACGAGCGATGGACCAATGGTGACGAGCAACGACGACGGACGCGACGCGTGGGAAAATTCCTGTGTGCAAAGTTCAAAGGTCAATGGATGGCTGCGGCGATAGAACGGCCAGCGGTGGTGTGGACGGCGAACAGTGAATGATGACGAGGCGACGGCCAATGAGCAGCGTCGCCGATACGGTGGCGGTGCACGACGGGGACAAGCGTGGGACAATTAGACTTATAAAAATTAAATACAAAAGTAAATAAACAATAGAAAGGATTTACCAAAATATTATGGGGTTGAATGGCAGTGAGGAACAGCGATGACTACGAGCGAGGAATGGCGACAATGAGCGGGCAGCAGTGAGAACAGTGACGACGGCGAGACACGGTGTTGAAAACGATGAAAAAGCCTCTTCAGTTTCGCGTCGCTGTCGCTCTGTAAAAGTGAAAAAGACATCTCTGTATCGTATGTCACCCCGAAGGGGTCATTACATGGTGGAGAACTTCCAGGTTGACCGTCGGGCTTCGATACAGGCTGTCGAGCGCGGGCGCCGGGACTCAGAAGACTTTGAAACTGCGACACATCTTCTATTACGCCTCGGACTTACATTATATTTACATTATATGGTGCATTATGATACAAATATTTTTTCAGACGAGCGAAGGATCGGAAAGAAGTTCCATGGGAAGTTTTCGGCGCAGGACAAGGACGGACGCTTATACAGTTTTCAACTGCGCTCAAGATCGAATGAAGTCTCGCAACACGAACTCATATAATCAGTCTTGAATGACGTCTTCAAATCAAATTTGTCTTATCATCCCGAAAATTCTAGGAGATAACACCAGCACCCGAGCACGAGGATTGTTTGAGCAGCGGTACGGGCTACTTTAATAGTAGTACTGCTGACTATTTATCTTGAAGCGTTCTCAATTCAATAAATCACTAAACTATGTGAATACTACCGGGATGTAAAGTCAGCCAAGTACAGAAGCATTGATAATTATGAAATACATCATTATGCCAGGTGATCAATTGCCATTACACTGCATCTATGCATATAATAAACCCAATGATCACCCAATTATCACTTCGAGCCTTTGCCTTCTTGGGGAGGGGTCATTAGAGCGCATTATATGCATAGATGCAGTGTAATGGCAATTGAATGGGCGAGATCATCTGGCGAATGTGATGCGACAGGCTGTTTATACTTCATAATTCGAAATAGTTGTGTAAGGTTGGCTGAGCTGCACCCCTGCGGTAGCAAGGGGCAGTACTAAGCGAAAGGGTAAGGGTTTGCGGAGACACGTCTAGACACGTACTATCATTTCCGTAGACTTGAAGACTTCCCTTGCATGATACCGAGTTGAACATAGTTTTCATTTTCGATGTAAACCACCACTGAGGTGAGCCATGATTAATATAAAAGAAAACCAATTACTGAACTCTTTATGTAATGCTTCTGAGCGAAAGAGATGAGCGAGCGCATGAGGCTGGAAGGTCCGAGTGCAATGGCCCTCAACCGTCGTATCGTTCCAATTTTTTCGCGTGTCACGGTCCACTTGCCACTTCAACTGTAGTTTATTAAAATTTATCTGATCAAATATTCGAGTAGTGGCTTTCATTACCCTGAAATCGAAGTTGTAGAGTGATATTACTCTGAATTATACTCCTATAATGCTATAGTTTCGGTATATATATATAGCGGATCATGCTGAAAGCGACTCCATACGTGTCAAATAGATGAACTTAGAACTTTGAATCTAGGCTATAATATACTTTCGAAGCTAAATTATTGAACATAGAACCACAGAATGACCCTTCTATAGGTCTAGTTAGGTACGTATACTTAAGACCGCGTCAGTGGAGGGTAATAGACGAATTAATGATCATCGGACATCTTAATATGGGATTTTGGATGATCCAATATGGGTCCGAGGAGGATTCTGCCTATTTGATTGATGCTGTCAGAGCCACAAATGGTTATGATTTTCTCTCCCTGTATTTTTGAAACTTCGAAGTACGAGCGCCGACGTCAAACACCGAGGTACGTGATGAAGTACAAGCGGCTTCAGGCTGGCATCGGTAGCCTTTGACACACAGGTACATGCATACATGTCAGAAGAGGGAGTTTCAGCGACATCCTGCGACATCGAACCCTTATGACTCCTTGGTCAAAGCGTCACAATGACATGGAACGGTTATTGCCACTTGCATAGACTTATATGCGTTGACGTGTCTGTCATCAGAGTGAAGCTGCCTATCATTTTGCCGCCACATTCCTTGCCCAGGATTATCGTACCTACGAAGCCATGTCATCGGTGAAATATATTGCATTCGTCAGAGAGACCCTTAACAGAATCCCACATTATGGCAGGATCTTGGCTTGCATGTGTTGAAAATGGTATGCCCTAATACCTTTTGGGTCTCCTCAACCTATTATCAAGTGCATACTGCGCTCGAGATAGAGTCCCACTCCATTCAATGCACAGGTAACACCACTACTCTGATTCGTCCCTTGATTAAACTAGCTTTCACCCTTGCATATAGTTAGCATACGTGTTGGCTGGGTTCATAACAACGTCGTATTATTGGGTGATGACGGTCAGACGAGTTCTAATTTATGTTCCCTAGGGAAGTTCGCTTGCTGCGATTCCTTCGGGGGTCTTAATTAAAAGACTGTTAAGTACTATAGGTTCTATATTCTTCTCCGCATCTCCGGAAATGATCCTCGAC